GTTGACAGCTCCGGAGGCCGCCGCGATGCCGGGCGAAAACATCTTCCTGTTCGTGCCCAACCTCATCGGTGAGCGCCACTGCGCCCGGGAGGACGGGAGAGCGCCGGGCTCGGGCAGGTTCCTTGATCCCGCCCTGCGCGCTCTCCGGTCCCCAGGTTATGCCCGGATCGTCTTCGCCGTCATTTCCTTCTACTTCATGCCTTGCTGCCCCCTCACGGCCTCCTCCTTCTACCTGCTCAGCGGGCTTCTGGACGCTGTCGATGGACACGCGGCTCGAGCCCTTAATCAAGGTAACAGATGCCTCCCCGCCATCACCGGCCCAGGTCCTTCCCGCCCTGACCGCTCAAGGCTTGGGGTCAGGGTTCTGTCCTTCCCACCTCTGTTCAGAGCAGGACAGAATCGCCTGGTTTGATGGCAGAAGGAATCTAAACTCCAGTATGATTCCAGAAGGGAGAGTTGACTGATTCATTAATCCACTGTCAAGACCTACCTTTTGAGGCTCCCCTAGCTGGGTGTGGCGACTCACTCCTGTAATCCCAGCACTTGGGAGGCTGAGACAGGAGGATTGATGCGCTTTCAAGGCCAGCCTAGAATACATAGTGAGATCCTGTCTCCAAAAATAAAAGAGAGACTTCCCTTAAGTCTGCTGGTCTTGCTTGAAGCCTGGGTCCTGGTGTTGAGTTGAAGATAAGCCATTCCCAGTCCTCCAGCACCTTTCTCTTCACACTCATTTCACGTCCCAGTGACCCTTTGCACGCTGTTCTCACACCTTTCTGACAGCAGCCTCTTTTCCTCCCTGGAAAGTGTGTGGTGGATGTTTCAGGTCTGCTCTTAGATTGTGTCTGGGTGTCTCACAGCCTACGGGCCCTTCTCCATCGGCCCCTTTCCACCTTCTCCAGGAACTCGGTTTGGGGCCATGCTGGACATGCTAACCGACCGCTGCTCCACCATGTGTCTGCTGGTCAACCTGGCCCTGCTGTACCCTCGGGCCACGCTTGTCTTCCAGCTCAGCATGAGCCTGGACGTGGCCAGTCACTGGCTCCATCTGCACAGGTCTGCCTTGCTCTGGGGCCCTGCAGCTTCGGACGCTGCTGTGGGGTGGGTGTCTCAGGCCTTGGGGGACATTCCCTTTCAGGTTCTGCTTTGCCCAAGCAGCCTGGGCAAGCTCTCTCAGTCACATCTACAGCGGGGCCACACAGTTTCTGGCCCTTCTGGCTGGATATTCTGGGGTTCCAGGTGGCATGAGGGTGTCTACTCTCATGGGCTTTCCCCACTTTCCCCGCAAGCTCCGTGGTGCGAGGCAGTGAGAGTCACAAGATGATCGACCTTTCTGGGAATGCTGTGCTCCGAATCTACTACACCTCCAGGGTGAGCCCTTCCAGCCCTCATTCAGCTGTGTCGGGAGGGCCTGGCTGCGAACCCTGGCCCCAGAGAGGGCCGGGACAGAGGGCCAGCGCAGGGTAGCTGGGACTCTTCTAGCAGGGGGGCTGATGGGGCCTTTGCCAACCAGGGGGAAGAACTAAGGCTGGAAGGAGGAGAGGAGGGAGAGGGCTGTGTGAGGGTGCCGGCGTGGCCTTTGATGCGGGAGCCTGGACAGCCTCTGGGGGAGTCTTACCAAGTGGGGTGACCGCTGAGATGGGCTGGTGCATGGCCCTGCCCCTCAGGCATCTGTGCTCTCTGCAGCCCGCTCTCTTCACGATGTGTGCTGGAAATGAGCTCTTCTACTGCCTACTCTACCTATTCAGCTTCTCTGAGGGACCAGTAGGTAGGAGAGGAGGGGGGGTCCTGCCTGCCTACCCTGCGCTGCCCTCCTGAGGAGCAGAGCCTGAGGCCTGGCTCCTCAGGCTGGGTCTCACACACACTGCCTCCCACAGTGGGGTCTGTGGGGCTTTTCCGAGCGGGCCTCTGGATCACTGCCCCCATCGCCTTGCTCAAGTCTGTCATCAGCGTCATCCACCTGGTCACTGCCGCTCGCAACATGGCTGCCCTTGATGCGGCCGACCGTGCCAAGAAGAAGTGAGCCTGGCCCTGGGGTTCACTGCTGGGCCTCCTCTCCTGGAGGCCTCGCCTCGCCTCTTCCTATGTGGTTCTCTGCCTGTCTCTGGCATTGTCGATGTTGCTGGGTCCCTGGGACCCGGGCTGCCCTCCAGAGGCCCAACCCTTGGCTGTGCCCCGGGTATAGCAGGCCCTCTGAGGACCGGGCCACACACCCCTGCTGCCAGCCTGGGGCTCCCGTCTGAGAGCTGGGGACACCTGTGGGTCAGAGCTGAGGCAGGGCCGGGCTGGGCCGCCCAAAGGAGGAGGAGTCAGACCCCTGCCCGGGTACCGTCCAGGCTGCCCAGCCCTGGAGGCTTCCCGATAAAGGCAGGAACTTCACTCTGTGGATGTGGTTTCGTTTGAGACATTCTGGGCTCAGGTCTCAGTTGAGGGGAGCATGGGGAGAAAGGGAAAGGTATCTGGATGCCTTTCCCCCAGCTTTCTGGCTGGCTGTCTCCTGCCGCCCAAGTTCATGCAGCCCTTCTCTGCCCACCCACTCTGTCTGCTTTTATTTGTATTCTGGACGTTTTCTACCCTCACTAGAATGTGAACTCCAGGAAGCACAGACTTATCTCCTTCCTTTCTCTGTGTAGAATGAAGATAACCCTAACCTGGCTGCTTAATAAATATTCCTGAACAGATCAGTTGGTTTTTCAGAGTGGAGTCCTTAGACTACCTGTTGGATCTTTCTTTCATTTTTAATTTTTTTATTGTGTTACTGGGGATTAAACTGAGGGCTTTTGCACTGTGCTACATTTTCAGCACTTAGAGAAAAATTTTTAAAGATAAATTTTATTTTATCCCATTCCCCCCCCAAGCCCTCTCTCCTCCCTATGTACAAAAGCTTTGTTTCCATTTTTTTTCTTGTCCCTTCCTTTCTACCAGAAAATATTTTTATTTTGGAGATAAGGTCTTGCTAAATTTCCAGGCTGGGCTCAACCTTGTGACCCTCCTGCCTTAGCCCCCCACAGTGCTAGGATTACAGGTATGTACCACACCTGGCAGGGTAGTTCTTAAAATATTATCACATAGGATGGGCCTTTAAGACATAATCTCAGGGGCTGGGGATTTGGCTTAGTGGTTCTGCTGCCTGCCTCGAAGCATGTCTTGTGTTTGATCCCTGGTACCACACACACACACACACACACAAAGATATAGTCTCTAGAAATGAACCAAGAGGTCTATAATTTGTTTTTTGTGACAGGGTCTTCCCCTGTAGTTCAGGCTGGCCCTGAGCTCACTATGTAGCCCAGGCTGGCCTGGAACTCATGCAATCCTCCATGCCCAAATCCAGAAGTCTGTAATTTTGAAACTCCAGGTGATTCTTCCCAGTAATGTTGAGAATCATGTTCCTTCTTAAACATTTCTGGAGCTGGGCATGGTGTCACACCTGTAGTCCCACCAATCAGGGGGCTGAGGCAGGAGGATTGCTGCAAGTTTGAGGCCAACTAGAACTACAAAGCAAGACCCTTTCTCAAAAATAATTTTTTTGGGGAGGAGGACTGGGGATTTAGCTCAGTGGTGCCACTGCCTGCCTCAAAAGTGAAGGTCCTGAGTTCAATCCCCAGTACCAAAAAAAAATTTTGTTTTTCAGGGGCAGCTGTCACCACACACTGGGCACTATCCAAGGTCCCTGTCCCTGTCCAGTGCCCTCACCACCTGAGTTTTTCTTCTGTCTTGCACCAGATAACTTTAAACTACATTGGATCCACCACATGCCAGATCCTCAGCTGAGTTCCTGGCAAATGTTACTCATTTCCTCCTCAGTGGCTCAGCCAGGTGGCCAGGGAGGCTCTTGTATCTTGGAAAACAAATTCATCAGGTGTCCTGAGAGCGCGGGCTGGGTGCACGGAGGTTACAAAAGTGCTGGGGCAGTGAAGGGAAGCTGGTGGGGCCCGAGGCCACGGTGTTCTCAGCTGAGGGAGCAGCAAAGGGCGGGGAAGCCTCAGCACCCAGGCAGGGATGGACCCAAGAGGACCTGAGTGTGACAGGTGTTGTCCAGTGTGTCCTGCAGAATGGAGCGTAACTCAAGAGGGAGAGGTCCCTGTGGTTCTCCGGGAAGTTAATCTGGTCAAGCGAGACCAGTCCTGGCGAATGACAACAGGTAGAGAGAAAACCCAGAGCAGCCAGGGCCCTCAGTTCTCCAAAAGTACCCTGAATCAGTAGATTGACTTGCTAAGAGCACAGAGAGAGGTAGGTAAACTTGGTTAACGTAAGTCTTACTTTGACCAACAGGAAAATATCATAAGAATTAACAGTAACGTACACAGAGCTGGGTTAGATATGAAGTCACACCGAACCCATCAGCCTACAGCTGTGAGCAACTCCACGGCTGGGTGTTACCCTCACATACTTCCCAGTACTCGGGTACAGATTTGGCCTCTAATGTGCCCACAGGGAACACACAGAAATGTTAAAAATGTGGACCTCTTTAGTGTGCTCCTTGGCTAATGGGTATAATTAGAAGGGGAGGATGTGCCCACAGGAACACACACATGTTAAAAATGTGGACCTCTTTAGTGTGCTCCTTGGCTAATGGGTATAATTAGAAGGGGAGGATGTTGGATTTCTTAAGCAGGAGTCTGCATCTCAGACTCCACTGTTGTACTTTGTTTCATTTAATGCCTGGATAGGTGCAGGTTAATATTAAAAGCTTTGTTAAAAAAAAAAAAAAAAAAAAAAGCTTTGTGCCAGATGCCACCTACTATTGTCTGAGTTCTACAACTTCTACTTGTAATTTTTGGGCCCCATTTAGCGTAGTTATAAAATAAAGCTTAAGAACCAGGCGTGGTAATGCCCACTGTAATCCCAGCACTCAGGAGGCTGAGGCAGGAGGACTGCTGTGAGTTCCAGGCCAGCCTGGGCTACACAATGAGACCTGGTCTCAAAAAAAGAAAAAAAAAAAAAGAAGCTTAAGTGTCAGTGACTTCTGATGTCCTCTTCTCTTCCTATCAAAGGATTATAGTTCCTCAAACAACAAACCCATCTTCCTGTGTGGCCTTTGGCCCCTGGCTAGGAAGGGTCAGGGCCTGGCCTTCAGTTGCTCTGCAACCCAAGATTCAAGATTAGTCAGCATGGGGGAGGCCGAGGCATGAGGCAGCGGAGGAGAGAAAATAAGTAGAAAGGGGAGGAAGAGTGCTGTGCTTTCACTTTGCACTTGGGTCACAGAGCCGGCCCCAGGTTATCCACACTGCACTTCCAAAACCTATTTATGCTCCCAAGGCTTGATTTCTTCTTCCGGGCTCATCAAACCCAAAATGCCTCAAAGATACTGTAAGTCGACAAATGAACTCTGTGGATGAGATAAAGGGCAGGAACCCGACTAAGGTGGATTCAGCCGGGCTTGGTGGCACTCCCTTGTCATCACAATGTTTGGGAGGCTGAGGCAGGAGGATTGCTATAAATCTGAGGTAAGCCTGGGCTATATGGTAAATTCAAAACTGGCTGAACTACAAAGTAGCCACTGTCTCAAGAAAACAAAAACAAATGGAATCCAAGTTTTCAAAGAATATTCTTAGTTAGATCACCCTTAAAACAACAACAGCAGCAGCAAATGCACTGGGCCTTTCCCTTTCTCCAGTACGTTGGCCCATCCTTTCACATGTTAAAAGAGCCACTGTCCTGTAAACTGAGCCAAAACTTTCTGTAGATTCCCAAGTTCCACAGATTTCCTACACCCAACACAAATAAATATTCCCAGCTCCAGACCATAATGTACTTCTCTCTTGAGGGTCCCTTTCTTTACTTTGAGTGTATATTTACAGTTCTGCTTGAAAACCTCTATGCCTCTCAAAAACAGGAAGAAAGCCAGGTGTGATAATACATGCATGTAATTCCAGCACTCGGGAGGCTGAGGCAGGAGGATCACCACGAGTTCGAAGCCAGGGCTACACAGTGAGACCCTATCTGGAAAACACAAAAGAGGGGTGGAGGAAGGAGGAGGAGGAAGGAAAGAAGGCCGGCTGGCAGAGAAAATCGACTGGTGAGGCTGGAACCCTGAGTGTGGGAGTAGGGAGAGCTGTGGAGGGACGAGGCAGAAGAAGCCAGCTGGGGCAGCTTCTGGAGCCCAGTAAGACAGGAGGACTTTCTTTTTCCTTTTTCTTTTCTTCTCCTTTTTTTATACTGGGATAGAACCCAGGGCCTCACATATGCTAGGTCAGTGCTCTACCCCTGAGCTACATCCCCAGCTCTTTTTATTTTACTTTTCAAACAGGCTCTTGCTAAATTGACCTTGACTTTACAATCATTCTGCCTCTGCCTCCCAAGTATCTGGGATTAATAGGTGTGTGCTAGCGTGTCTCTCTCCATATTTTATTTGTTTTTTAAAGACAGGGTCTCACTATATAGCTCAAGATGGCCTTGAACTCAGTGTAACCCAGGCTGGCCTTGAACTCGTGGTGATCCCCCTGCCTCAGCTTTGGGAGTGCTGGGATCACAGGTGTGCGCCACTGTACCTGGTGGTCTTTCAATACTGTAGCTTTCATTTTACACACTGGCTGCGCTGCTCTGTGGCTAAGAGGCAGGACACATTGCTGATGGCAGTCAATGTGCCTGTGGCCTGGGAGCGGCTCTCTGAGGCCCACCTGCGCCTGTCCTGTCTCAGCGCTCCTGGACCGCCTGGCCCGATGGCGCAGGGCCACCGGAGGGCTGGGGGGGGGGCAAGCGCAGGTCCCTGCACGGCCATGTCTCCCCGCCAAGGAGGTTGGGGAACGTGGGGTACCTACGAAGTAGAGGGAATTGATATAATAAAAGTCTTGTAGAAGCGGAGGAACATAAAAACCCAGGGCAAAACACTGTAAGAGTCTAACTGAACTAGAGGGACTCCATGTTGACCAGCAAACAACCTAGAGACTGTCGCTCCCCCCATCCCTTATAGGATAACTAATGATTAATTGTGAATTGTTAGGTAACTGCTTAGAAGTAGCTGGGAAACTAAATGGAAACTGTAGTGAACACAGAGACCCAACATCAATCACGCCACTCCTTACTTGCCTGTAGTTGAATGTTCTGAACACCATGATCTAAGTTGTAAATGGAACAATGGATAATCGATCTGCTGATCATTAGTACGTGACGGTCAAGTATATGCTTAATGACCACTAGCTCAGATCAACTGATTCTTTGCCTTTGACCCCTTCCTGTAAGTTTTGAGTGTAAACCCCCCCTTAGCCCTATATAAAATGGCCTCTGTTTCTGAGCTAGCCGCCTCTCTGAGCTACTTGGCTTGGGGAGTGCCGTCTGGCCAGACTAATAAAGGTCTATGTGCCAACCTGCCTGGTGTGTTCCTTCCTGGGTGACTAAAGCGTCTTGTGTTCATGCTCCAGGAGTAAAAGTGAGACTTAAATCTTACAACACAGGTCGAGGGACGTGGAGAAGTCATCACGGCTCCTCTGTGGCTGATGAGTGAGGGTCATCAAATGCTTACCGTGTGCCCCGCAGTTGCCAAAGTGACCCCTGCACCTTTACGGAGCTGGGAGGTGTGGCCCGCGCCTGCTCTGGCCAGGACGGGTTGCCTGTAGCCTCCCAAAAACAAAGGCCCAGCCTGGCCCCGCCTGCCGGTCCGGGAGCCTCACCTGGGCCGCCGCCCCATCTCCCCTTCTGTGGCTCAGCGCTCTGAATACACCACGCTCCCCCACCCCGTCGACCCACTCCGCCTTCCTCCGCTGCAGGGAGGGCGAGGACCGCTCTGCGTCCCTGAAGTAAAGTCACCCTGATAGAAG